AGACCTTTGTGGAAGAGCATCGTATACGAATGCTTCCTAGGTCAGCTCGTTTTCCGGATCTGAGTCCAATCGAACATGTTTGGGAAATGACTGGTTAACGTTATCCGGCTTCCCCGGCTAACGTTTTGGTGCTATGGAGGCTAGTTGAGGCGGCATAGTTGGCCATCCCTCTCGCTACAATACAGCGACTTATAGACTCCATGCCACGTCGTGTAGCGATGGTACGCGAAGCTCAACGGGGATACTCTCGCTATTGATGTTTCATCTCCCAGCAGAGTTCTGCCGCTCTCCATGTGAGAGTAAGTTACACTACTTTAGTACTACTTCCATACCAAATTTTATTCCGCTAGACACACGCGTTCAGATTATACAGGGTGTGCTCGTGAATTATTTCCAACAGTGTAATTCCACAAGCAAGTCATGACAAACACTATCAAAAGCTCTACTAAAATCCAACAAGACTACCAACGTACATAATCCTTTATCTCGAGCCTGTAAAATATCATTAGTTACCTTGAGAAGAGCAGTACCGCAGCTATGGTTTCTACGAAAACCAGATTGATGCTTCGGTAAAATATTATTAATTTGAACAAATTGATGCAACTGATTAAACATAATTCTTTCCAGAACTTTAGATAAAATTGGCAATATGCTAATCGGCCGCAGATCTTTAGGCTCAGATGGGTCACGTTTTTTCGGGATAGGAACCACAATTGACAACTTCCAACAGTCAGGTACATCCGAAGTTTCAATGCAAACATTGAGTAAATGTGTCAAGTAGGGTAATATAAATGGAAGACACATATTCAACATACTCATACTGATATTATCAGCACCGGCAGCTCTAGAAGAAATTGAGGAAATAGCTTTTATTACATCAGCTTCGGATACAAAGACAAACTTAAAATTAGTTTGAATCAAATTTAAAGGCGGTAAGTCATTAAAACTGAAACGCGTTGCAAGGTTCAAAGAAGGGACTGAATCAATAAAGAAATCGTTAACCTCATCTGGTCGATTCAAGTGAGCAGGGATTTGCTGTGAACATTTCGTACCACAAATACCCAAATGATTCAATTGTTTCCACAGTTCAGCACCCCGAGACGTCTGATATAAAAATTCCAGATATGATTTTCTTTCTCTTCTAATGCAGGTTGTAGTAAAATTCCTCAGCTCCTTATAAGCAACCCAATCAGCACCTGAACGAGTACGCTTGTATTTATTCTTTGCCCTATCACGTTCGTCCATAAGCAATTTAATATTTGGTGTTAACCAAGGTACGACCTTTTTGGTAAACCTCCTTACGGTTAAAGGGGCANCAAGGTTTATAGAACATAAGGTTACCTCATTCCCTATGCCTCTGTAGTATCGATTATTACCCCGCAAATTGACGTCACTGGTTCGATACAGTCAGAATAAAAGATAGCCTATACTGTGGTACAGTCTATATAAAATATTTAAACCTCCCATGGTGTTGTGTTGTTCATAGAACCAGCTACGTCACTGACCCACCTTGCCTCTCAGAGGAGGAGAATCGGTATTGGGTAACCTTATGTTCCATAGACCTTAGAATTTAATGACAATTTTTCTTTTAACAGGTTATTCCATCTGAAAATCGATCAAAATTGTATTCTGTCGATATCAGTAATTTATTATTATGCATCGGGCAATTATTGCCATCAATTTGTAATGATTCCGAAGAGCTTGTTGGATTATTTTTGAACAATCAAAGTAAACTTTTAAGAGACGTCCATGTTAAAAGTCAAGAATTATTTTCATTTTTCATCCTGAGAACATCCCCGCTTGATTCTTTGATGAAAATTTTTCGAAAAGGAATTGATAACTTACATTTAAGTAAAAATAAATCGAATACAATTATTCCTTGGATTATTTTCGCTTTGCCGAATATTTTTCGACAAGAAAAAATAATTAAAAATATATCAAAAATTGGCGACTTCGATGATAATATCGCAATAGCTTTAGATTTAATGGTGTTAAATCATCAACCACAACCAAACTGGAGTCTTTTATTAAAAGTAATTTGTATGAGAAATTGTAAAATCGCAACAATAATTTTAGAAGAAACTTTGTCAGGTGGTGAAATTTCTTTGAAAAAGAATTTAATAAAATGTAATCGATTTTTATGTTCGGAAATTTGTACCACATCAATTAATTTTGATTATTTTGAAATTATATCATCGATAACTCACATTTTTTTGATAATTGGAAATAAATTTGATTTGGAAGAAATTTTTTTACCGCTAATCATAAAATATGCTAATTGGAGTAAATGTTTTGATAGACGAGAGATATGGAATCAAAATCGACCACCTTTTTTCGAAGCTTTAATCGAAAACATTCAAGAAACCCTCCCTCCGATTTCAAAAACCGTAATTAATGCAGTTCAAACCGGAGCAAGCATGTATCAAGCAATGTCAATCGTTTTAGCATGTTTTAGTCAACTTTGGGATTGCATTAACATGAATATCGTTTTAATTTGTAATTTATTTCAAGAAAATTTACCTTCCGATGTCACCCCGATTGGAAACTCCGTTTTGTTACAACTATTATTAAGTGCATTGTATTCAGATTTATTAAAAATTGGCGAAATTGAAAATAAGAAGGTAAAAATTAAAGAAACAACACCAGTTTTGAGCCAACATAAAAACTCTTTAACAAGTTTTGACGGATTTAATAATTCAAGTGATGCAATAGCTTTAGCCGTGGCGGAAGCTTTATGTAGTATTGATGAAGATAATAAACACACCGAGCAAATAGTTGAGGTTCTAAAACAAGTAAGCGATGAGTTAGAAGAAAATTTTATATCTTCCGATGGTTGTAAAAGAACGGAAAGCACTCAAGAGGTGGTTGAAGTATTATGTAGTGAATTATTGGGTGATTTGAATGGAAAAAGAAGTTTAAAAGTAAATTAAAATAACGAACAAACTCATAAATAATTAATATCATTTTAGATTTTGCTTGATTTCGTTAGAAATAATTCGGATTTTTTTAATTTCAAATTGGGGATTTTAGACGTTACATCGCAGGCGATTTATACTAAAATATATCGTTCAGCTTTATTACATACGATGTTTCACATTGAATATCGTCCGTTTGATCAACTTTTATCGGGGTTATGGAAACCTGATTGGAATCAACTTTTAACAACTCCGATGGGGCTAACTCCGGAAAGAATTTGGTCCAATCTTTCGTATCGTTGGGAATTTAAAGATTCCAATTTTTATAATCTCCCGAATAATGAAGCACAAATCGTAAGCAGTTTAACTTCGATGTTAAAACAGCAAAATTGAGGTTTAAAGTATATTCATTTTTATTATTAAAAAATTTGATGTCTTTTTTTTAGGCTTATTTAAATTAAAAAAATATAATTGTGGTAAAAATAGCTTTAGTTGTTGTGGAAACTTTATGTTGTATTGATGAAGATAATAAACACACTCAGTCACTAGTTGCGCTTTTAAAACGAATAGATGATGAGTTAGAAGAAATGTTTATACAGGGTGATTTATAACATACGGAGGAAACTAAATGGGTAGGTACTTGAGGTCAAACTGAAGAGATTTTCTTAATAATGTTTTGTTAAAATCTTAATAGTTACATAGATATCGCATGTTAATTTTTTAAATAAGTTAGCGTCAACTTTTGAGAACCGCTGATATTCACTAAAGAACAAATTGACAATGTTTGACATATAACCTCCATTACTAACCTAACATACATTTAAATGTATGTGGTGAAATAATTTAAGTCGTACGTCCATATCTTGATTAATACCATTTTTAAACGTCAAGTCACTGCCAGCTCTCGTGGTTTCTACTATAGCATCCGATGATTGTAGAAGAACAGAAAGCACTCATGAAGTTTTATGTAGTGATTTATTGGGTGAAGTTTAAAAGTAAATTAATAATTAATCAATATCTTTTTAGATTTTACTTGATTTTATTATTAGAAATTGGTCCAATCTATCGTATCGTTGGGAATTTAAAGATTCGATTTTTTATAATCTCCAGAATAATGGAGCACAAATCGTTAATTCGATTTATTGATGACGTTTCAAGTTTATTTACTTTAATAAAATTATAATATATTAAATATGTAGTATAAAAAATTTAAAAAAACCCAAATTGCGTCTTTGTATAATAGGTTGCATACATAAAATCATTTTATTTCCATCATATTCTTTATTTATTGTTTTTTTTTTAATTTACAATAATCACATTCAAACACCGACTTATTTACAAATAGATAGTTTTAATTTTTACTTTATTAATAATCGTTGCCGGTTAATGTTTCTAAATAGACCCCTATTTACATTTTATTTACAATAAAATCTTTGGTAATAGGTAAAGGTAAAAAATATCTTTGTGTAATCTGTTGTTAAATACTTAGTTTTAAATTCTAATAGTTGATTGTGTGCGGCTACACTACGAATAATTAGCTCGTTTTTAATTTTATTTCGATCTGGTCCGGTTTCTTTTTGTTGTATTTTGTGTGCAATTTTTAAACACGAAAAGCTTTTACTCACTTTTAATAATAAACACCAAACAAAAGCGTTTATTTTTTCCCATTATTACATAAATTCTTTGTATTATACACACATTTCATAACATGTTCATATATTATGTTTATTTACCCGTATTTTGTGCTTTTAAACTTTTTTTTTGGCTCAGTCTTTACAGATTTATGCCGTTTTTGATTCCAAAAAAAATCTTACTTAACATCTAATTGTATTCTTTGTTTTAGATGAATTAAAAGAATTAAAATGAGATTATGATAAATAGATATGTATAATCTTTTTTCACATTTTTGTTTCTAATAATCCCAGTTTTTCTCCTTCAAGTTTTTTCCTGCACTATATCCATGTGTTTCTTTCGCGGATTGATTCTCTGGTGTCAAATGTATCACCTCTAACATTCGATTTGTGTCAAGACGGTTGGCGTAACTCAACACTTGTCCTCCAACGTCTGCTTCCTCGAACAGATCCGAAATCATCCACATTTGTGTAACATGTATCCGCTGAGCTTTGATTTGCACAAGCATTGTAAAGTGGAGTTCTTACAGTTCCTTGAAAAAACGTTTATTAAAATAGAACCTTTTTGTGGCGATAAAATTATTTTTAAAAAAGTGAGGTTGAAATGAAAAAAGAATAAAAATATAAACCTGGTATCGTCTACAGCTTTCCGCAAAGCAGGAAAAACAGAGAGAAAAAAGAGGTTTTTTACTTTAATAGAAAGCTTGGAAAAATAGCGTAACAAGATGCGCTGCTTTAAAACATTTTTCAGTGATTTTCTGTTTTGTTGGGAGCATACAAACCATTCCGAACGATCCTATTATGATCCGGTGATCCGGAATACGATCTTCTGTTGCTCGTAAACACACCCCTCCTCGTTAATTTAGCAGGGCTTACATTTACGTAAGGTAACCAAGAAAAAACTTGTTTAAAACCACGGCGAAATCTGCGTAATAAAAAAGTTACATCTTATTTATGAGAATATAAAAGAAACTCGCGTTTCAATTAATTTTTTGGGTCAAATTAAATTCATTCAAAAATTTAATTAATGAGATAAACTTTAAAATAAATTATTTTTTTATTATGTATTATATCTTTTATACCTTTTCCGTTTCCTTAAAAAAAAATAACATATTTTTTTTATTATAATACTCTCGGTACAAGACATAAAGCACCTCAATAAAACGAAATCACCTTTTACGACTTACGTGACACATTCGATTTTCTTAATGTCATATCTCGCCCCCAATACCCGGCAAATACAAGATATTGTATTATCAAAGCAAACAAATAATAAAATTTAAAAATATCGCGAATAGCTAGGTCAAAGCTTGAAAATTACAGAACTAACTTGGACTTCCCCCAACATCCCTCTTACATTTTCTAACTAACTTAATAGTTCCCCGGGGGTAATACAGATTTCGTTGTAACTCGATTAGTCGCCGTAGACTCGGTGGAAAATCGTAACTGAATTGGCCGTTCAGGGTCCCATAAATAGGACCTTTGGGGTGAAAAGCGCCGATAACGAAATTAAGTTAAATTAGAAGAATCCGGATTGGAAAATGTTCGATTTTGACACTTACCTCGCGTTCAGCCAGCAATATATGATTGGGTTATACATTGAGTTGCTCATTGCCAACCAGTAAATGGCCAAATAAGTTTCTTGAATGTACGGTTGATTTTGTACTTCCGGGTAAAATGAGGTTATGATAAAGTAAAGATCGTACGGTAACCAACAAACTGCGAAGATTATTACCACTATCATCATCATTTTTACTACCTAAAAGATAATAAGAAAGAATAAAATTTTTGTTTTAATTTAAGTCGAATTTTAAAACATCATATCTTCCAAAATAATTGATATATCAAGATGATTTAAAAACGAATTTGTAGCAAATGTTATCTAATTTTATCATAGCAAAAATAATTCTTTCGTTTCCATAAATCTCGACGTTTCGATTTTTTTAATCAATTTTTGTACACCAAATTATGATAGATTAAGTTTGTTAATGTCAAATTTAAAAAAATATCTTAAGAAATAATTTAAATATGGATATGATTTAAAAACGAATTTGTTTCAAATTTAATCTAGTTTCAACAAACCAAAAATAATTCTTCCGTTTCTATAAATCTCGATGATAAGATCGTTTAGTTGAAAATGTGTTTGTTGAGGTTAAGTTGATATTAACGTAATTTAATTAATAGTATCTCAAGAACTAATTGAGATATCAACATGAAATAAAAACAGATTTGAAGCAAATTTAATTAGTATTTGATGACATAAAAATGGTTTCTTTGTTCGTTTAAGTTTAGACGTTAGACGATATTTTAAATAATTTGTGTACATCAATTCATGACAGATTAACTTTGTTAATGTCAAATTTAAAAAGTCATATCTTAAGAAATAATTGAGATAGCAAGATGATTTAAAAACGAATTTGTAGCAAATGTTATCTAATTTTATCATAACAAAAATAATTCTTTCGTTTCCATAAATCTCGACGTTACGATTTTTTTAATCAATTTCTGTACACCAAATTATGATAGATTAAGTTTGTTAATGTCAAATTTAAAAAATCATATCTTAAGAAATAATTTAAATATGGATATGATTTAAAAACGAATTTGTTTCAAATTTAATCTAGTTTCAACAAACCAAAAATAATTCTTCCGTTTCTATAAATCTCGATGATAAGATCGTTTAGTTGAAAATGTGTTTGTTGAGGTTAAGTTGATATTAACGTAATTTAATTAATAGTATCTCAAGAACTAATTGAGATATCAACATGAAATAAAAACAGATTTGAAGCAAATTTAATTAGTATTTGATGACATAAAAATGGTTTCTTGTTCCTTTAAGTTTAAACGTTAGACGATATTTTAAATAATTTGTGTACATCAATTCATGACAGATTAACTTTGTTAATGTCAAATTTAAAAAGTCATATCTTAAGAAATAATTGAGATATCAAGATGATTTAAAAACGAATTTGTGTCAAATTCAATCTAGTTTCAACAAACCAAAAATAATTCTTTCATTCCTATAAATTCCAATGTTACGATTTTTTAATACAATATTAATCTTCTTATAAAAATTTCTCGAATATTAATAATGGTTTTATATTCGATCCTATAACAAGCTTTAAAGTTTCAGCATTTTTCAAGCTCGCACCCAGGTAATCCAAGGGCTCGTTGAAAGGAGCTTTCAACGAAATGAAATATACCATGTTCCGCTTTGCAAACTGCTTCTATGAATTTCTCAGAGGATTTCGATTGTGTCTTCGTATTGTGTTCGGTCTATAACTTCTTTCCCATTACAAATTCGCTTTATATAAACGGAAAACTCGTGATAGACTGATTCTGTTTTTAATTAAGGGAATATTCAAACAACTTAAACCAACATTTCTATTTACAGGATATAAAGACATAAAAGGATAATAATAAATATATTATTATAGAAGATTGTTGGAACGTAATCGAATTGATATAAACATTAAGGAAGGTTTCTGCCAATTTCAGATCCCTTCAGAAAGCTAACCCAACCTAACCAGTAGGATTTCAGGATTCCTATTCTCGAATTGGAACCGTTTTTTATTGGTGTACGGTTCATTTAACGTCGGTTTCATTATCGAGAAGCCGTTTGCAATCGTCTCTCCGTTCCGGTTGTTGTCTGAAAATTTAACGAAAGGAAACGAGAGCAACATCCGAGGACTTATTTTTAACGTTTCTTTGTGTCTTTTCGATCGGAAACAAAGAACTCCACGCGAAAAAAGTAAATAAAGGGTGTATACCAGTTGTTCAATTATGTTATTGGAAATTTGAACGTCAATTACGTAATATGCTCGCATATTCAATATTTGTCTGTTTGCCTCTCATCCGTGGTCAATATGTGGATTATTAGCTGTTCGTTTTCCGTTCCATTAAAACAGGATAAATACCCGAATAGATACGTGGTTTTAATATAATCACGTTAACACGGCAAATATTTATTTTATTACAACTTACCCTCCTTTTATTTCTAATATTTTCCATTTGACGTTGAGTACACTCCCCAATGCTTTGCGATCCCCACAATTCAATTCCAATTCTTGCGTAAGCAAACGTCATACTTCCGATTGGTACCACGTAGGTAATGAAGAGAAAGAGTATTTCGTACCTAGAAACACAGAACAGTACACAGAATCGATTAGCGTTTCCCCATTAAAGACCTCAGTCTACCGGAAGACATTGGATTATTCGCTACTCTCCTTTGGGAGGGAAGCCAATTATTACCAAATCGGCACGGCACGGTGGCGACGTTCTAACAAGAGACAATGAGACTACGAGGGAATACTTACGTTTTCTGATGAGAACTGTTCGTCCATTCCGGGTAACAAATGTGTCTATCTCCTTCGACGTGATGAAAAACTTTGTAAACCAACAAATTCGGAACGGAAAATATTCCGCTAACGGTCCAAATTCCTACTGCTACGCATAAAGTTGCCGTTTTCCCCATTCGTGGACGTAACGGAGTCATTATGGCCATGTATCTAAATTAATTTTGTTTTTCATCATAAATTAAATCATTAATTAATCTACAATTTCAATATTAAAATCGTTTAGGAGATGAAATTTCCTTTAATTTGATGCCAAACATGACATATCGAATTTAACAAAAAGTAAATAAGACATCAAGATGATTTCAAAAAGAATTTATAGCAAATTTAATCTAGTTTCAAAACCCCAAAAATTATTCTTTCGTTTCTACAAATTTCGGTGTCGCGATTTTTTGATTTAAATTCAAATTGATACAAATTTTATTAATATTTAATGGTATAATAATATATTAATATTGAAATTGTCTTATCGTCTGTGAAGTTCTAATACCCTGTAACCCTAAAAACATTTTTTTTCAGTAGACATAAAAGACGTTTTATATTTAACTGGGAAAGTATTTGTTTGTTTGTTTTGAAACTGTCAGTTACACAAGGGCTTAGATACAAACATATGATTTTTAATTTTTTAGTAAATATTGTATATTAAAATTTGCAGTGGCTTACGAGTGATTAGCTTTAGATTTTTGTCAAATTTGTGGGTTAGGATATATTATATTATTTTTACAGAAATAAAACAGTATTTAGGAAAAACTACTTTTATTACGAATCAATAAATTCTCTAAAAAATTTTNGTGTGACACCCTCTATATATATATATATATTTATATATTAATCAGACTTACCTCATCTCTAGCTGGACTTTCCCTTGTCGTTCCCTCCTCAATAAATGAATCTGGTAATATCTATAATAACAACAGATTTAATTAGTTACTTTTCTCTTTATAGTAATCAGACCTACTTCATCTCTAATATTACTTTCCTTGGCTTTTGTAACAATGCTCTCTGTTACTACTGAATTTGGTGATATCTGTAACAACAGATTTAATGTTAATTTTCTAATGTGAAGTGGCTTGTAATTAATTATTTACACCTAGTAAATATTAATTATAATAATTACCTGTGTTTCAATGTTATATTGGTTAATTGCAGGTAATAATGTAGGTATTGCACCACGTTTTAATAAAGTTGGTGTAATGAAACAATCTTGCGAAAAATGTCTATTACAAATTTTTACAGAAGTTGAAACTATTCTAGGTACCATTCCCATTGATTGTTGCCACTGATAAGACCTAGAACAGAATAATTTAATTCATTTCTTTTTAAAAATATACCTCAAGTGCAAGAAAAAACATTCAAACAACAAACATATTATGAAAAATGTTCTATCACATTTAATTTTCTCGGAAAATGGATAAAATTTTATTTACTTAATGTAACAGCCAGTCCTTAATACTCCTTAATAGTACCTAAGGAAAGGGAGAGAAATTGCGATTCCGACATCACAATCAAATATCAGCTAATTAATATTCTTTATGTAAATTAAATCGTAAATAGCCACTAATAAAAATGAAATTAAAATTTGAATACTATTGAAATTAAAAATTAATATAATTAAAATACTAACCTGTCCTTATTCTTGGGAAAACAAAATAATTTTCCAACTTCATCTTCGCTACATCCAGACACAATGCAAAACATTTTTACAATAATTATTCTCGAAAATTATTCGTAAAAAATACAACGCAAAAATTGATAATAAGCACAAATAAGACAATAAACGCAAAAGGACTCTAATGTGACATACATAAAATGTCAAAACCGCTTAAACAAAAAGGGGGATTACCTAAATGTACGCAGTACACAAAAAAGTACCTCTCTCTTTGGATTTTTAGTGTAAGTAAAGGCATCGTAAGTCAACAGCTTTCTGTAATATTACCATCGAGATATACTATGTTTACTGGAGTGCGTGCTTTGAGCTAGAAAACGAGCCGGCCTCCCCCACCCCATAACGGCAAAAAGCTTCAACATAACATACGTAAAATTTATTATTATTTTTTTTTCCTAACTATAATATAACTTAAATATGTATTATTTGGTATTTTTCATCATTATTGAATAACATTATTTGAATTACTTAGTAAATATTGAATAAATTCATGCTGAATTATATCCATTAGTTAGTACTATTTCGTCTGTGAAGTTCTAATACCTTGTAACCCTAAAAACATTTTTTTTCAGTAGACATAAAAGACGTTTTATATTAAACTGGGAAAGTATTTGTTTGTTTGTTTTGAAACTGTCAGTTACACAAGGGCTTAGATACAAACATATGATTTTTAATTTTTTAGTAAATATTGTATATTAAAATTTGCAGTGGCTTACGAGTGATTAGCTTTAGATTTTTGTCAAATTTGTGGGTTAGGATATATTATATTATTTTTACAGAAATAAAACACTATTTAGGAAAAACTACTTTTATTACGAATCAATAANCCTCTGTAAGTACAAGATGTAATAATATGCTAAACTTGTCCTCTACCTTTATACTATAATTATAAAAGATGTCTTTTATAATTACCTGATAACTTCCACTTGCATAAAACCGAAGAGCGGTACAAAGTTTTATGATGGGTGGAATTGGCAAGCCACGATTTGTTGTAGCAACGTCTCTTGGGTAAACCAATGGTAATAATATATTTTGGATTATGTCACGACCAAACCGAAAACGTTGTATCAACTCTTTTTGGCGGTAGGACTCCAAAGGATTTCCGACATCTCTTAAAATTATTCTAATAACGAATTTATGATGTGTATTAGCTATTTATGTGTATATAAATTATGTTATTTACTTACCTTGGTGCACGATCATGGCAAAAAACATCTTCAGCGTGTTCAATAAATTCTACTAATAATAATTCTATTCTATTATCCATTTTGATAGATGTAAAGAATGAATTTATAACGAAAGAATAAGTAATAATCAAAACTATAATAATCGTAACTAATAACTAACAATCAAATTTATAAAAACAACACAACTAACAATGATAATCTAATAAACGCGAGTAATCACAACTGCTTTCTTCGGAATTTATGATAGCAAATCTATAAAAAACGAATTAAGACAACAGCAAAATGACAGTTAGGGTTAGATTAGTGCTCGCGATTGCGCACTCAAATTTTACTCACTTTTCCCTAAATCTTTAACTTATAGTTAGAAAAAAGTTAGTCACTAATTAGTTTTTTGAATACCAAAATTAGTGCCTAACCTCAACTTAGTGTGAGTTTAGGGTGAGTGTCACTTTAGTGACGTTTATGAATTTGGCCCTTAATGTTAATTTTCTAATGTGAAGTGGCTTGTAGTTAATTATTTACACCTAGTAAATGTTAATGATAATAATTACCTGTGTTTCAATGTTATATTGGTTAATTGCAGGTAATAATGTAGGTATTGCACTACGTTTTAATAAAGTTGGTATAATGAAACAATCTTGCGAAAAATGTCTATTACAAATTTTTACAGAAGTTGAAACTATTCTAGGTACCATTCCCATTGATTGTTGCCACTGATAAGACCTAGAACAGAATAATTTAATTCATTTCTTTTTAAAAATATACCTCCAGTGCAAGANTATAATATTATTTCTATTTTGGTAAGTACATCCATCACTGTAAATTATAATTGGTCCAGATTCATTCTGACAGTCTGTTGTTAGGTATTCCATAATGCAAGAAGCAAAAGTCGATGCAGTCATATCTGCTTCAGTTTCACTAAACCAAAAACACTTTGCCTCATGCGGTACTACATTATAAACTGTAAAATTGTGGCAACACAGTTTTAACTTAAAAAATATTGTGCTGGCTTGGACATACGGACACACTTTTACAGCTTGTAAATCCATTGTTAAAACCCGACCTTTTTTGTTCAGTTTTGCTTCTTCCTTGTCTCTCCTTTTTTCTTCACGAGCCCTTTCTTTTTTACGTCTGTGCGTATTCCATTCTTTGTCTGATAATTGACCAACTTCATGTTTTGTGCACAAATCACATTTACCCTTTTTAGTGGAGTGAATTGACAAGTTCATAGAATAAAACATTTTGCTAAAAATTGTTCTCGACAGGGTTGCTTTGTTTTCTTCTTTGCACTTAATTTCGTATAACTTAAATAATTGATTTAGGCTCCGGATTACCGTTTCTAAATACAATTTACTTGAATTTGAACGTCCATAATGTGAAGGCAACTTTGGTAAACAATCAAAAAATTCTTTTAGTAACCTCTTATCTTCCACCTTGTCCTGTCGAGTGGTTCGTTTGTTTGATTTGTAGGTCAAATCGAAGCTAGAAGTCATACCGTAACATCCCTTTTGGACCCAATCATAAACGGAATATTCACCTATAGCAAGTGTTTGAAAAAACATTTGTTTACAAACTTGCACTTTGTTCATATTTATTGTGAGAAAATATTTTAAGGAATATTTTCGCCTACTCTCAAAGCTTTTAGTATACGTTCTTTTTGTGACAGTTTTTTCTATGGATTGATTACAAACACTTTTCGTTGATCCCAATTCATTTCATTCCAGAATTTAGTAAATATGGCATTGCGCTGAACGTCATTAATTTCTGAACAATTCATGGATTTTACTCTAAAGGTATGTCCAGACATTGCGCGGCAGGTGCGCGGCAGCAACGCGTGGCGTTCGTCGGACACAATTCTGCCGCGCGCCAGTTGGGACGTATTCAAATAACGTGTGCGCGGCAGTGCTACGCGGCATATGCGAGTTCGTTAGCAACAGCTGAAACACGATACGCCGCGCGCTATTGCCGCGCGCGAATGCTGCGCAATGTCTGGACACACCTTAAGGCAGTGGTTCTCAAACTATGGTAAGCGTACCATTGATGGTACGCAAGAAGTTCTCAAGTGGTACGCAAAACAGTTTATATTTGCATTATCATTATTGTTTTTTTTTGTTCAGTGGTACTACCTGATTTTTAAAATAGCCTTAGTGGTACGCAATGATATAAGTTTGAGAACCTCTGCTCTAAGGCACTCTTTTGATTTGCAAGAAGAACCCATTTTTCTTGCTTCTTTTGGGACATTCTGTTTTACTTTACCTTCTTTAGTTCTGCTGTACCCCATGTACGCTTTTCCTTCCATTCAGGTTGGTCCCATTTATCAGGTTGAGCA